TTTTTGAGACGGAGTTTCGCTCTTGTTACCCAGGCTGGAGTGCAATGACACGATCTCGGCTCACCGCAACCTCCGCCTCCTGGGTTCAGGCAATTCTCCTGCCTCAGCCTCCTGAGTAGCTGGGATTACAGGCACGCGCCACCATGCCCAGCTAATTTTTTGTAGTTTTAGTAGAGACGGGGTTTCACCATGTTGACCAGGATGGTCTCGATCTCTTGACCTCGTGGTCCACCCGCCTCGGCCTCCCAAAGTGCTGGGATTACAGGCTTGAGCCACCGCGCCCGGCTGCGAGTAAATCTTCTTAAGAGATAGCTCCCATGACAACAAATGCCTTCCATCAATTTCTAACAAGATAGCACTAATTTACTCTCCTAAGCTCACCTTCCACTCCAGAGAACAGTCTATACTTTAGCCAAATTGAATTACTCCCTAGGTAGTAAAGAATGTTGGCCAGGCATGGTGGCTCACGCCTGTAATCCCACCACTTTGGGAGGCTGAGGCAGGCAGTCCCCTGAGGTCAGGAGTTCGAGACCAGCCTGGCCAACATGGTGAAACCCCGTTTCTACTAAAAATAGAAAAAATTAGCTGAGCTTGGTGGTGCTTGTTAGGCCTCCGAGTCCAGGCCTGGCCATTTTAGCCTTGGTGACCTGCACATACACCTCTGGAAAGTTCCCAGGAGCCAAAAGGTCTAAAGTAACTACAAGTGATCAGGTGGCCACAGAAAGAAGTAAAACAACTTGTTCCTGCCTTGACGAATTGCTCTGCAAACCTGTACCCATTGTTCCTGTTTAGCCTTGCAAAAATTTCCACCAGAAACTGGGTTTCTCAAGACCCCCACCCCTGTGACTATGTCATCCACTGCACCCTCCCTTCTGACTGCAACTGATACTCCCCACCCTTATGATCATGTCTGTTTTCCTCTACCCTTGTGATCATGCATCCCATGATGCCCTCCCCGTTCCCAAGACAGATAACCATCTTTAGCTAACCATTTGCCCCAACCTATATAATCAATCCCCTCTCCTACACCCTTTGCGTAACTCCTTTCTTGGACTTGGCCCGCTTACACCCAAGCGTGAAATAAACGGCCTTGTTGCCCACACAAAGCCTGTCTGCTGGTCTCTTTACATGAGCGACACTTGTTGACAATTGGTGCTGAAACCCAGGACAGAAGAACTCCCACAGGAGATCAAACCCCCTGTCCCTACCCCTTGTGCTCCCTCCGTGGAGAGACCTACCCACGACCTAGGCTCATCAGACCAGCCAGCGAATCCACTCACCATCATCAGATCAGGTAAGCAGTTTGCCTTAGCTCTTCTTTTGCCTTTCTCACTATCAGCTTCCTTCTCCTTTCAGTTTCATTTTCCTCTCCCTTTCAGCGGAGACAAGAAAGACAGGACTTTCTGTGAGGTTCATGACCGGAAAAAAAATCCTACATAGGTCATGGAACCGGGAAGACAGTCTTCCCTTGGTGACTGATCATCGCAGAGAAGTCTGCTTTGATAACTCACTTGCACTCCTTCGGTGACTGATCACTGCGGAAACATCTGCTCTGGTCGCTCACACTCGTAGGGTGACAGATAATGCAGGGGATGCCCCCTTTGACAGATTCACCCCAGGTTCAGACCAACGTTTAGTGTAGGAAGCCTGCTAAACTGCTTGGTCACGCGTTCACTTTTCTTGTCTTCACCGCTCTTAAACTATGGGCAACCTCCCGCCCTCCATTCCTCTCTCCTGCCCCTTAGCCTGCGTTCTAAAAAAAAAAAACACCTCAAACGTATCCAGCTATCATCTGACCTAAAACCTAATCATCTTATTTTCTTTTGCAATACCGCTTGGCCATAATATAAATTGGACAATGGCCCTAACTGGCCAGAAAATAGCACCTTTGATTTTTCTATCTTGCAGGATCTAGACAACTTTTGTCATAAAATGGGCAAATGGTCTGAAATCCCCTATGTGCAGGCATTTTTCACACTTTGCTCCCTTCCCAGCCTCTGCTCCCAGTGGGACCCCTCTCAAATTCTCCTTCTTTCTCTTCCACCTGCACCCCGTCCCTACTGCCAATGCAGATTCTTCAATCTCAATAGATCCTTCTGACCTTTCCCTTCCCCCTCAAGCTGCCCCTCATCAGGCCAAACCAAACCCTAATCTCCCTTCTGCCCCTCACGTCTGACCAGAGCAGACGTCTCCGCAATGATCAGTCACCCTCCCTCTTATATTTCCTCTGTCACTTCTCCCTTCCACACCTGCTCCAGGACACAATTCAGCCTTAAAAGTAGCTCTCCGTCCCCTGCCCAACAGTTTTTCCTTCCAGAGGTGGCTGGAGCCGAGGGCATAGTCAGGGTGCATGTTCCTTTTTCTCTGTCCGATCTGTCCCAAATTGGGTCAGCGCTTAAAATCTTTCTCATCAGATTCCACTAATAGATCCAAGAGTTCCAATCTCAGTCCTGCAATTTAACCCGGAATGACTTAAATGTCATTCTAACCTCTATTCTTTCTCCAGGTGAACGAAATAGGGTTTATATTCTGGCTCAATCTTATGCTGACACCCGCAGATACCATGAGCCAGCCCTCCAAGAGGGCATCAGGGCAGTACCTAGGGAAGAACCCAATTGACAATACCAGGTGGGCTCACCTGACATCGCCAAGTGAGACTATATGGTCTCTTGCTTGGTTGAGGGACTTAACCAGGCAGCTTACAAAGTTGTTAATTATGACAAGCTTAAGGAAACAACGCAGGGCAAACATGAAAATCCTGCCCAATTCATGCCCACCTGGCAGAAACTCTCAGATGCTTCACAGCGCTAGTCCCAGAGGGGCCACAGGGCCGCCTTATTCTCAATATGCATTTTATTACCCAATCTACCCCAGACATTAGGAAAAAACTTCAAAAACTAGACTCAGGCCCTCAAACCACACAATAGGAATTAATCAACCTGGCCTTCAAGGTGTTTAACAATAGGGAGGAGGCACCAAGCGCAGCAACAACCCATTTCAGAGCTAAAATTGCTTGCCTCCATGGTAAGGCAAACCCCAGCCACTATTTCAACAACAAGGAACCTCCAGGCACCAAGGCGTGTGCTCCATCAAGCCATCCTCCTCTAGGGCCTTGCTTCAAATGCCAGAAAACTGGCCACTGGGCTAGGGAGTACCCACAGCCTGGGGCTCCATCTTGCCTTAAATGCCAAAAGCTTTGACATTGGGCTAATAAATGCTCACAGCCGAAGCCCCTGTCTAAGCCATGTCCTGTCTGTGGGGGAACCCACTGGAAATTAGACTGTCCGGCTCACATTATAGACACTCTCAAGGCTCCTGGAGTTCAAACCCAATATTTTCCAGCCGACTGTTTTCCAGAACTTCTCAGGTTAGCAACTGAAGATTGACGCTGCCCGACTGCTTCAGAAGCCCCCTGGACCATCACGGATGCCGAGCTTTGGGTAACTCTTACCGTGGAGGGTAAGTCCATCCCCTTTTTAGTCAATACAGGGGCTACCCACTCCACATTACCTTCTTTTCAAGGACCTGTTTCCTTAGCCCCTTTAACTGTTGTGGGAATTGATGACCAGGCTTCAAAAACTCTCAAAACCCCTGAACTCTGGTGTCAACTTGGGCAGCACTCCTTTACTCACTCCTTCCTAGTCACCCCCATATGCCCTGTTCTCTTATTAGGGCCAGATATTTTAACCAAACTATCTGCTATCCTGACTATTCCAGGACTACAGCCACATCTCATAGCTGCCCTCTTACCTGACCCAAAGCCTACCACACAGCCTCCTATCACGTCTCCTCACCTTAACCTTCAGGTCTGGGACACCTCTACTCCATCCTTAGCAACCAGCCACGCACCTGTCACTATCCCCCTAAAACTCAATCACCCTTGCCCTGCCCAATGGCAATACCCCATTCCCCAACAAGCTCTAAAGAGACTACAACCTGTCATCACCTGCCTGTTACAACATGGTCTCCTAAAGCCTACTAACTCTCCTTACAACTCTATCTTCCCTGTCTAGAAACCAGACAAATCCTACTGGCTAGTTCAAGACCTTAGCCTTATCAAATTGTCCTTCCTATCCATCTTGTAGTGCCAACCCATATACTCTCCTATCTTCAATTCCTCCCTCCACAACTCATTATTCTGTACTCCATCTCAAAGATGCCTTTGCATCCCCTTACACCCCCTCCTCCCAACCTCTATTTACCTTCACTCGGACTGACCCTGGCACCCACCAGTCACAACAACTCACCTGGACTGTCTTGTGGGCTTCAGGGACAGCCCACACTACTTCAGTCAGGCCCTCGCTCACACTCACAACCTGCTCTCTTTCTGTCTTTCAACTTCTCACCTTCATCAATACGTGGACAACCTCCTGTGCAGCCCCTCTTATGAAACTTCTCAGCAAGATATTCTCCTGCTTCTTTAGCACTTATTCTTAAAGGGGTATCCCGTGTCCCCTTCTAAGGCCCAGATTTCTTCTCCATCTGTCACTTATCTGGGCATCATCATCCAACAAAATACCCGTGCTCTCCCCACCAACTGTATCCAGTTAATCTCCTCAACCCCAACTCCCTCTACCAAACAGCAGCTCCTTTCCTTCCTGAGTGTAGTTGGATACTTTCGCCTTTGGATACCAGGTTTTGCCATTTTTACCAAACCCCTATATAAGCTCACCAAGGGAAACTTACCCAACCCCACAGATCCTAAATCCTTTCCTCACTCTTCTTTTTGCTCTTTAAAAACAGCTCTAAAAATAGCTCTAGAAACTGCTCCTGCACTGGCTCTCCCCAACTCTTTTCCTTATATACTGCTGAAATTCAGGGTTGTGCAGTTAGAGTTCTTACACAAGAGCCAGGTCCACGTCCTGCTGCCTTCCTCTCTAAACAACTTGATCTCACTGTCCTAGGCTGGCCCTCATGCCTGTGTACAGCAGCTGCCTCTGCTCTACTCCTTCTTGAGGCTTTCAAAATCACAGGCTATGCCTCACTCTATACAGCTCTCACAACCTTCAAGCTTTAGTATCCTCCTCACATCTCCCACATCTGTTATCTGCCCCATGTCTTATCCAACTGTATTCACTCTTTATACAAACTCTCACTGTGACTATTGCACATGGCCCCGATTTTAATCCAGCCTCTCATCTAATACCAAACATAAACACAAGCCCCAAACCCCATGACTGTATATCCTTAATTCAAATAACATCCTCCCCCTTTCCATATATTTCTCTCTTTCCCATTCCAGACCCAGATCACACATGGTTTATTGATGGCAATTCCTCAGAGCTCAGTCAGCACCGGCTAAAGCAGCTGTATCCCATTCATCTACCATTGAGGCTGCTACACTTCCTCCCCCACCACTTCTCAGCAAGCTGAACTAATTACTTTAACGCGTGCTCTTACTCTTGCTAAGGGACTATGTGTAAATATCTATACTGACTCTAAATATGCCTTCCACATCCTACACCTCCATGCTGCTATATGGGCAGAAAGAGGCTTTCTCACTACACAGGGATCTTAATATTATCAATGCTCCCTTAATGCAGGCCCTCCTTCAGGCTGCTGCTCTCCTCCCAGCCAAGGCTGGAGTTGTCCACTGTAAAGGGCACCAGAAAACTTTAGATCCCATTGCCCAAGGAAATGCTTTTGCCAGTGAAACAGCTAAAAAGGCAGCAAGCCACCAGTATCCCCTCCTAGCAGACATTTTTCTTTCTCATCAATTACCCCTATTGTCCTTCTGAATCCTTAATCTATCAGTCACTTCCCACTCAAGGAAATTGGTTTTTGGATTAAGGAAAATTCCTTCCTCCTGCCTCATAAACCCATTCTGTCCTCTCTTCCTTCCACAACCGTTTTAATGTGGGATATAAGCCTTTGGCCCATCTCTTAGAACCTCTTGTCTCCTTCCCTTCATGGAAGTCCATACTTAAAACAATTACATGCCAGTGCTCCATCTGCCACTCCACCAACCCCCAGGGATTTTTAAAACCTCCTCCCTTCCCCACTCACCAAGCACCGGGATTTACCCCCACGCAAGATTGGCAGATTGACTTTACTCATATGCCCCATGTCAAGAAATTTAAGTATCTTCTTGTATGGGTAGACCTTTACAGGATGGGTTAAGGCCTTTGCTACTGGAACAGAAAAGGCCACTGCTATTATTTCTTGTCTGTTAAGTGATATCATTTCCTTATTTAGCCTGCCTACTTCTATCCAATCTGAAAATGGCCCTGCTTTCATTAGCCCAATCACTCAAGCAGTCTCTCAGGCCCTTAGCATTCAATGGAATCTTCACACCCCTTACCACCCTTAGTCATCAGAGAAAGTAGAGAAAGCTAATGGCCTCCTAAAAACACATCTTACCAAGCTCACCCTTCAACTAAAGAAAGACTGGGTATCCCTTCTACTTATTGCTCTTCTCCGAATTCATGCCACTCCCCAGGAACCCACAGGATATAGCTCCTTTGAACTCTTATATGGCCGCACCTTTCTGTTTGGGCCTAACCTTCTCCTAGACACTAGTCCTCTTGAAGACTATCTTCCAGTTCTCCAACAAACTATGCCCCTGCCATTGGCTTATTTTCATTTGTGTCTCCTCACTGCAATAAACTGTAACCATAACAGCATTTAGTGAGTTCTGTGAGTACATATAGCAAATTATGAAACCCAAGAATGGTTTTGGGACCCCCAAACCTGCTGTTGGTGTCAAAACTTATGGTGGTCTTCGAGACTCCTTAACTTTCATTTCACATTTCACAAACATCATTTATATTTACTGCTTCTGTGGCACTATTCATATTGTCCCACTGCACTCCCATTGCTTTCCAAAAAAAACCTGGCCCTTTAAGGTCTAACTCTTCCACAAACAGCCTTTCTTTTAAAACAGCTTTATTGAAATACAATTCACATACCATAAAATTTGCCCATTTAAGTATACAGTTAAGTTTTAGTATAGTTAAGAAGTTGTGTAATTATCACCTAATCTAATAGAACAGTTCTCATTTCCCCCAAAAGAAACACTCTAGCCTTAGCAGTCATTCCTCATTCCCATCCCACTCCAGGCTCAGGAAATCACTGACTGACATTCTACAGATTTGCCTATTCTGGGCCTTTTATGTATCATATAATATCTGGTCTTTTGTGACTGGCTTCTTTCACTGAGCCTAATGTTTGGAGGTCCATCCATGTTGTAGCATGTATCAGTACTTGATTCCTCTATATTGCCAAATAATATTCCATTATATAGATATACCATTTTGTGTTATTTTGTTTGAGACAGGGTCTTACTGTCGCCCAGGCTGGAGTGCAGTCGTGTGATCTCAGCTCACTGCAACCTCTACCTCCCGGGTTCAAGCAATTCTCCTGCCTCAATCTCCTGAGTAGCTGGGACTACAGGTGCACGCCACTATGCCCGGCTAATTTTTGTATTTTCAGGAGATACAAGGTTTCACTATGTTAGCTAGGATGGTCTCAATCTCCTGACCTCGTGATCCACCCACCTCAGCCTCCCAAAGTGCTGGGATTACAGGCAGGAGCCACCGTGCCCGGCCAAGACCCTGATTCTAAAAAAAAATTCAACTGACTGTAAATGTAAGGGTTTATTCCTGGACTTTCAATTCCTTTGGTCTATAATATGTCTATCTTTATGACAGTATCAAACCATCTTAAGTACTGTAACTACAGTATATAGTAATTTTGAAATCAGTATACGTGATTCCTCCAACTTTGTTACTCTTCAAGCTTGTTTTGGCTTTTCTGGATCCCTTGGATGTCATGAATTTCTGGATCAGGCTGTCAATATCTGCAAAAAGGATAACTGAGATGTTGATAGGGATTGCACTGATTCATTCTGTAGATCAATTGGGAAGTACTCCTGTCTTAATAATATTAAGTCTTTTGATCAAGGAACATGTAATATCTTTCCATTATTTAGATTTCTAATTTCTTTTTTTTTTTTTTTTTTTTTTTTATTGGGACGGAGTTTCACTCTTGTTACCCAGGCTGGAGTGCAATGGCGCGATCTCGGCTCACTGCAGCCTCCGCCTCCTGGGTTCAGGCAATTCTCCTGCCTCAGCTTCCTGAGTAGCTGGGATTACAGACATGCGCCACCAGGCCCAGCTAATTTTTTGTATTTTTAGTAGAGACGGGGTTTCACCATGTTGACCAGGATGGTCTCGATCTCTTGACCTCGTGATCCACCCGCCTCGGCCTCCCAAAGTGCTGGGATTACAGGCTTGAGCCACCGCGCCTGGCCTAGATTTCTAATTTCTTTCAACAAGTTTTATAGTTTCCAGTGTATGTCTTGCAATTTTTGTTTAATTTATGCCTAAGTATTTTATTCTATTGTAAATGAAATTATTTCCTTAGTTTCATTTTTGGGTAAGATCCTACTATGTAGAATTACAATTGATTTTTGTATCCTGTCACATTGCTAAACTCATTTTTTCTAATTTTTTAAGTGGATTCCTTAGGATTTTCTATATATAAGATCATATTGTCTGCAAAAAGAGATCATTTTAACGTCTTCCTTTTCAATCTGGATATCTTTTATTTCTTTTTCTTGCTAAATTTCCCTGGATAAAATCTCTATACAATGGTAAACAGAGTGGCAAGATCTTTGTCTTGTTGCTGATCTTAGGGATGGAAACATTCAGTCTTCTTCCATTAAGTATGATATTAACTATGAGTATTCACAGATGCCCTTTATGAGGCTGAGAAAATTTCCTTCTATTCCTAGTTTGTTGAGTATTTTAATCACAAAATGATGTCAAATGCTTTTCTTTGTCTACTGAGATGATTATGTAGTTTTTGTCTTTTATGCAATTAGTATGTTAATTGGTTTTTAAATTTAAACCAACCTTGCATTCCTGAGACAAATTCCTCTTGGTCACGATGTATAATCCTTTTTATGTGTTGCTAGATTTGGTTTGCTAGTATTTTGTTGTTATTTTTGTATCTGTATTCATAAAGGATATTGGCCCATAATTTTCTTTACTTGTGATATCTTGGTCTAGTTTTAGTATCAGAGTAATACTGGCCTCAAAATGAGTTCGAAAGCGTTCTCTTCTATTTTTTTGGGAGAGCCTGAAGGATTGGTATAATTCTTTAAATGGTTTGGTAGAATTCACCAGTGAAACTGTTTGGACCTAGACTTTTCTTTGCAAGAAGATTTTAAATTTCTAATTCAATCTCTTTGTTGTAGGTCTACAGGCCAAAGGAATTGAACTGAAAGCCAGAAGTAAACCTTTACATTTACAGTCAGTTGATTTTTATCATTTCTTGAGACAAGTTTGGTAGTCTGTGACTTCCTGGGACTTTGTCCATTTCATCTGAGTTATCTAAATGTGTTCACATACAATTGTTTATAGTATTCTCTTGTAATTCTTTTTATCTCTTTTTATTTTCTTTTTTGAGATGGAGTCTCACTCTGTTGCCCAGGCTGGAGTACAGTGGCATGATCTCAGCTCACTGCAACCTCTGCCTCCCGGGTTCAAGCAATTCTCCTGCCTAGGCCTCCCGAGTACCTGGGACTACAGGCACGCACCACCATGCCCAACTAATTTTGGTATTTTTGGTAGAGATGGGGTTTTTCGAGCCACCTCATCTGGCCTCTTACTGATTGATTGAGACAGGGTCTCACTTTGTTACCCAGGCTGGAGTACAGTGGCTCAATCACAGCCCAC